CAGTTAAAAATTTCTCAAGTTTTTAACTCCTCCAAAACATCTGCTGGCCTATGAAATATTCCCTACTCTTTGTTAAGTATGTGCCACTTTAGAAGAATAGATACTCAACTGCTTAGTATAGAATATCTGTAGTACGGCTGGATGTATTTATAAGCCTAGAATCATGGTAAGTAATTTGGTTATCTCAAATTATCATCAGTCTGAGATTTGAACTCTTTGCTGTAAAACGTGTTATTTTCCTGTTACTAGAAAAGAAAGCAAATTCTTTTATCTACGAAGAAAATCTCCCCATCTCTTCTCTGACCTCTCAGAAACATGAACTTTCATAGCTGATTGTTCATATTTGATTGTGAAATGCCTTTTCCATTTCAGTCAGCATTTAGAATTGACTTCTCTGTTTCAGATCCTCCAGTCTACAACTGAAAGCAAACCAAAAAAGTAACAGCAACTGAGGCCATCCACTGAATTACCATCTTGGAGAGCTGTTCCACTTCAGCCAGGGCACTCAGGACATCTCGGTCAAAGTCCATGGCCTTCTGCCAGGCACTGTGTGCAACAGTGACCAGACCACCACAGCCGGGCCCCCCACACTTCTTCTGTCCTTCATCAGTTCTGCAGTTTGGGCCACCACATTCAGTGTCAGAACAGGAGGCCCCTGGAGGTGTTCCACAAGTCTGCAAAAAGCCAAGGATCAGGCACAAGGGTTCAGAGAGTGAGTCTGCTGCAGCGTAACAGCTGTGCAGGGCCTGGGTGGCCCTAGGGAAGTGTAGGTGGTCCACAGAAAGGGTGCTTGAAAATAGTGTTCAGGAGACAGAACCGAGAGAGGAGCTAAGAGTTTAGAAACAAGTTAACTTGCCAATTTCCAAAACAACCTCCTCAATACCTTCTGTCTAAATGAATTAAAATACAATATGGGTTCTGTCCAGGGTACAAACATTATCTACTGTATCAAGATAAATTCTGCCAATGTGAGGGGCAAAGAATACTTCCATTTATTTTTTTCCTAACTAAAAAATTTGAGCATTGAGAACTTTCTTCAGGCCCAGCACCATGCCACTTGCTCTGGTAAATTGCTCTAGTTGACTAAGTTCCTATCTGCTTAGGAAGACAGGATCATTCCACATAAATTAGCCAAGAATAGTTCAGATGCAATAAGTATGGAGGAATGCAGTAATAATAGCTGGGGAAGGATTTGTTGGCTGGTGTGATTTGAGCCGGGGAAGTGAAAAACATTCTGTGTGTTAAAGAGAAAACAGTGTGAACAAAGGAACAAAGGTGGAGGTAGCTTTTCCCAATTACTGCCCCCAACCCCACCATCATCAGACTTGCATAGGTTTCTCTTCTTACCTACCAGAACTTCTCAAAGATTACTGCTTGATCATTCACTGCATACAAAGGCAA